TCTGCAACAAACATTTTTTTGGCTTTTCAAAAGTTCATCACATCTGTGTTTAAAAATTCAGTTCCTTCTTTTTTTAAACTCTGAATGACTGGTGTCAAAATGATGTCACAATTTAAATGCACCATAATACTATTCAAGAATATTCTGTTGTGTCAATTATTAACATCTCTAAAGCCCAGGGAAAGGTAGCTTCGTTACATATATATATTTTTTTTCTTATTTGCAGCTTCTTTCAGTTGCTTTGGGATAGATTTCTCTCTTCCGTGAATCAGAGAACTCTCTGCTATGTATTTTAATCTTTTTTAGTATCTTTAGATGTAGACTGTGCAGCTGAGGCTTAAGGAAACGAGTCTTCTAATCTCTTCTGAAAGCAAAACATCAGGCTCCAGAGTCAGACAGATGTGGATTTTAATCCCTTCTCAACCAACGATAAGCAGTGTGTACTTGAGAAAAGGCCCCATTTTTCTTGTACAGTTTCTGTGGGTTAGGCACCTGGGAGTGGCTCTCAGAGGTTCTTGTTCAAGGTCTGTCATGAGCTGATGTCATTGGAAGGCTGACCGGGATTGGACAATTGGGCAAGTTGGTGCTGGCTGTTGGCCTCAGTGGACCTTCCCACAGGGTGCCCATGAGACTTGGTGGCTGTCTCCTGAGTGAGTGCTCAGCCACATTTGGTTAGAACAACAGCAGTGTTGTATCATTCAGTCTAATAGACAAAATTGAGTTTGTATTCGACATTAAAATGAAGCAAAGTATTTAAATTTCCTTTTTGTAGTGCTGTTAACAAACAGCTCTTCATCACTATGCAGAGAGGACTTCTGGGGGATTGTGGTCTTCTAAATCAGACAGTACTATTGCTTTGGCATTTCATAGAAAACTTAAAATGTCTATTTTGAAACATTAACCTTTCACTGGACATATTCACCTATACTAAGTTCTCCAGAGGCCATGACTTCGAAGTTTTAATTTTGGAAGGACTTTCAGGGGGAAAATTAATTAAAAAAAATTTTTTTTTGCCTTTGAATTTCTTTGAGGGGGATTTAAAGACCTTATTACATGTAAAGTATGTTAAAAAACCCATTGCCGTGACTCATAGTGACCCTATAGGACCAAGTAAAACTGCTCTAAAGGGTTTCCGAGGCTGTAATCTTTACGAAAGCAGACTGCCACGTCTTTCTCCCATGGAGTTGCTTGTGACTTTGAACCACTGACCTTTTGGTTAGCAGCTGAGCCCTTAACCACTGTGCCAGCAGTGTTCCTTAAAGTATGTTAGTAGGGAGAAAAAAAAAAAAAAATCCCACAATCTTTTGGGAAAGCCCAACTCTCCTTTGGAGCTCCTTTTGAATGACTTTGATTTCTGAGGAATTGTAATTACTGGAGCCTTATAGGATTTTTGGGGCCCTGGTGGTGCAGTGGTTAAGCGTTTGCCTGCTAACCCAAAGGTCAGCAGTTCGAATCCACCCGCTGCTCCTTGGAAACCCAATGGGGCAGTTCTGCTCTGTCCTATAGCGTTGCTATGAGTCAGAATCAACTTGATGGCAATGGGTTTGGTTTGTTTGTTTTGGTAGTATTTTCAGCAGATAAATCAGAGGAGTTGTTTCCTTTTTATTTTATTTTTTAATTTACAAAAATCCAAAAAAAAAAATGGGGAAGGGAGAGGCAGCAAGAATACGAGCAATGCGCTGTTGTGAGAAGAAAACATTTACTTTGGAACTACACCACCACACATTACACTGACTAACAAACCAAGTTCATGGTCTCCTTCCTCCCCTGACTCCTAACAAGTGGCTTCTGCTAGTTTCCTGTGATCTGAAGCTGGCATGCCTATTCTGTTCATCCTGCCCCAAGCTCCAGCCTGAATGGGGGGCCCTTCATTGTTCCCCACCTCCAGTCGTGCTAGCCTTGTGGATTCTGCCCCGGCAATGTCCAGCTCTGCTTTCTTTCCCCTTTCCCTCTGAGGAGGAGTCCTTGGGTGGCAAACAGATAACACACTTGCTACTAATCAGACAAATCCACACAGAAGTGCTTTGGAAGAAAGGCCTGGCCATCTACTTAAAAAAAAAAAAAAATCAGCCACTGAAAACTCCGTGGAGCACAATTCTACTCTGACACACACGGGGTCACCATAAGTTGGAATTGACTCAATGGCAACTTGTTTTGTTTTGTTTTTTTCCCACTTGAGGCTACCCCATGGTCATGTCAGTTCTCTCCTGAGATATTGCAGAGGTTTTTTAATGACCTCTGGGCCCTCAGTTGCACTCCCTCTGAACTGCTTCCAGGTTAATTTTTTGTTTGTTTATATAGCACTTCATTTCTATAGAGATCTGCCCTATTAGCTCATTTAATACTAATAGATACTGATCCAAAAACCAGAAACCCATTACTGTCAAGTTGATTCTGACTCATAGAGACCCCGCATGTATACAGTCGAACTGCTTCATATGGTTTCCAAGGCTGTGACCTTTTGGAACTAGATTGCTAGGCCTTTCTTCCAAGGCACCCCTGAGTGGGTATGAACCACCATCTTTTGGTTAGTAGTCAATGGCTCTACCATTTGCATTTCCCAGGGACTCCTAATAAATGCTGATAGGCTGACTAAAATTAAAGAGCAGTTACCCTTTCCCACAGTGGAATACGTGGCCAGTTTGCACTGCCAGACGTAATCTTCCAGATTAATTTTGCTTGCCTAAAATTCTTTCATGTTTCTCAATATTTATTAAACAAAGTTCCAGTGTCTCAGCCTGCCACTGGAAGTGCTCCACCCAAAGGCACCAAGTTACCTTTTATATTTAAAGTCATCATATTCCTTTTGACCATCCTAACAGGACTGCAAGCGTTCATCCCATTTCTCTCCTTAGTTCTTTGTTCATCTCTTCCTGGGTGAGAGACAACACTGCCAGACCCTGCTTTGGTGTGTCATAATCACGGTGCAACATGGCAAATCTGCAGTGTACTCACCAGTTGTTCTCGATTTCTAGACAGCCAGGAGGCCATAAGAAAAAGGATGCCTATAACTAATATGAATTGCTCCATTTCTATCACATCCTTCCGATGAGAGCTTGAACACACATTAGCACATAGAAAGTAGCTTTTATTACTTACAATAAGTAGACAATATAGAACAAACCAGCAGTCCTGGCTGGCTCAAAAGTTGTCTGGGCTAAGATGACGACTTCCGTGCACTCCCCACTTTGTGTTGTGGGTGAGGGACTTAAATGGGACAGTCACAGACAGGACAAGTTGTACCCCCTGGCTTCTGGAAACAGTCTTGGTGGATACAAAGAACCCTTCCACCCAAGCTTTCCACCTGGCATTTTGGCTGAGGGACACAATGGGAGCCTCCCTTTTGCTGGTATCCACCTGGCCAGGTAGGGCCACTTGGGTGGGCTGTAAACTTAATGCTATACATGCCCCAGTACCAGGAGGTCCCCCAGCCAACCATTTTTATATTCCAAAGCCCACGTGGTAGGCTACATGGGCAAGCCGAGGGCTCAGAGGGTGGTGTGGTGGAGGTCTCAGCAAGCTTGCTGCTAAGGAGATGAATTAGGCACTCCCAGTCATTTACATATGTTTAAGTATGGCCTGGCTCGTTTAGAAAGACAGAAGTTTCCTAACTGCTCAGGCTATTTTCAGGAGGAAACCCTGGTGGTGTAGTGGTTAAGAGCTAACCAAAAGGTCGGCAGTTCCAATCCCCCAGGCGCTCCTTGGAAACCCTGTGGGGCTGTTCTTCTCTGTCCTACAGGGTTGCTATGAGTCGGAATCGACTTGACAGCAACGGGTTTTATTTTCGGGAACCAGTATTCCACTCTGTAAATGGCTGTGGGTTGAAATTCCACCCATTTTTTAGGGCCAATCTCAAATGCCTCCTTCTCTGGGCAAAAATTTTCCAGGCGCCCTACGCCTTTCCTCCACTAGACATGTTCACTCCTTTTTGGAAGCCCATGAACTTTGTACTCCTCATAATATTTAATCATAATCGTTTTAGTATAGCATGTGTATACTTACCATTCCTTCAAGATAAGCTACTTGAAAGGACCGACTTAATCGTTCAAGTAATGGGACTTCAATAAATAGCTGGGACTTCAATAAATAGCTGGGACTTCAATAAATAGCTGTATAAATCCACTGAAAAAAAGTAAGGTAGGAGAGAGCAAAATTCCTGGTTATCAGATGCACCGTATTTATGCAGAATTAAAGAAAAATTACACGTACACACATACATATATGTATGTATATTTATCATTTTACTAAGATGGCTTTGTGCTAGCACTAAAATATACCGGGGTGTGGATATTGCATTTTATTCCGGCACTGTGCAAAACATTAAATAAAAAGTTGTTCCTCAGATTTTATGAAGACAGAAAAATGATTTCAACACCTCGTTCAATTTGAGACTGGGTAAAAGTACACTGGCAAACGCTGAAAAAGTTAAGAGAAAAGCTGCTCTAAGGAGCTGGAAGTGACGCGCCCGAAAGAAACTTCCAGAGACGCCTTGTGCTGGCTAGCAGCCCGCCGCGCCGGGGCGGACGGAGGCGTGTGGGGCGCGCCACTTGCAGGATTTCCTGCTCCCGGGGAACGAGGCCGACCAGTTCCCACCGCCTTCACGCCTCCTCGCCTCCCTCTGCAAGCCCATTGCCCAGCGCCGCGCGCCCTCTTACTGGGCGCCGAGGCCCGGCCGGGGCGCGCCGAGGGCAGGGTGGCTCCTGCATCCCTGTGCCGCCTGCATCCCTGTGCCGCCGGCCGGGGCAGGGGGCGGGGCGGCGGAGGCTGCACTTGGTCGAGCTTTCCAGGCGCGGGCAGACAAACAACCGGTTGGCCTGGGCGGAGCCAGGCGGGCGGGGCGAGGGCGGAGGACACATTGCCTCATCCTGTACATTTTACTGGAAACGGGGCGCATCCGGAGGAGGGGCCGGAAGGCGGCCCGGGCGTCGCCAATGGCCGGGCCGGGCGCGGGGGAGGTCGGCGAGCCAGACGGCCCACTCCCCCTGGCTCCACTGGCCGCTTAAATACGCTGACGGCCGGGGCCGCGCCCGTACCGGTGTAGTCCGCCTGCAGTGCGAGTCCCGCGCCGCCACAAGTACAGCCGGGAGGCAGCCGCGCTCAGCGACCCTTGGCGCAGGTGTCTGGGGGTTCCCGAGCGTTGCGCCCGGGAGCATGATCGTGGACAAGCTACTGGAAGACAGCCGCGGCGGAGAGGGGCTGCTGGACGCGGCCGGCGACTGCGGCCTCATGACCAGCCCGCTCAACCTGGCCTACTTCTACGGCGCGTCGCCGCCGGCCGCGGCAACGGGGACCTGCGACGCCGGGTGCTCGTCGTCGGGGCCCTCGGCACCCGGCTCGCCCGGCTCCGACTCCTCAGACTTCTCGTCTTCGTCCGTGTCCTCCTGTGGGGCCGTCGAGTCCCGGCCGAGAGGCGGTGTCCGCGCCGAGCGGCTGCCAGGTACTCACCGCTGGGCCGGCGCGAGCTATTAATTTCCCTGGAAGGGTGGGGTCAGGGCTCCCCAGATGTGACCAAATGTGACCTCGACCACATGTAAGCTGGCTACCTGCGCATTGGTTAGCCGCAATATACAATCACATTATTGGTGAAGCGATACTGGATGCGTTGGCCAGTATCGGGCGCTTGACAGTCTGTGAAATCCAGCTGTACTCATAGCTTGAAACACTGGTCATAGCAGAGGTCTGATTACTGGGGGGAATGAAGCACATTCGACCTTCCTGTTATGCTGAGGGTTTTGTTTTAGTATTGTTGTTTGTGTGTGTGCCTTTTTTTTTTTTTAACAGCTTTTTTGAGCTATAATTCATATACTGTGGTGAGGTGTTGAGTCCGTTGTAGTTGATTTTCTCCTGTGGCTATTTTAGTGAAAGGCCATAGCTAGACATCAGACTTTGGTACTGTGTTTAAGGCCCTGATTTATTTCTTCAAGTACTCGTGGAAATTGTAAGTAAAAGGACTTTATGTTAAAGCAAAGCAACTGCTGTCAAGATGTAAGATGAAACTGGACTGAAAACCAACAGAAATTATGCCTTTTGTTGTTGATGTTTGCCAGTTTCGGAAGCCAGAGTCAGCAGGATCTGTGGTCTTGTTTTTGTTCTGTGTGCTTTAAAATGGTTAAGCCATATCTAGTAAAGAAAGGCATAATGTTTCCTTTCTTTGCTTTTGAATTGGTTAGTTTCCTTTTTGTAACGTAATGAACTGAGTTTCATAAGTTGGGGGAAAACAGGATGCCACCGTGAGTAGACTCAAGAAAGTCTAGATAATCTCAAATGTTGGAGTGTCTAATCAGCAGTATTCTAAAGAATGTTCTCTTTCAGGTGTTCCCCACTGCTAGCCACTCCTGTTTTGGTTGTCTTTTATTTTTAAAAAGTGCTTTTCCTGTGTGATTTATTTTACGCCACTTGGTTATGTAAAGCGCCCACTGTACATTGTCTGGTAGTGCCTGTACCCCCATCCGATGCCGTGGAGTGGATTCCGACTCACAGCGACCCTATAGGACAGAGTAGAACTGCTTCGTAGGGTTTCCCAGGAGTGGCTGGTGGGTTCAAACTGATGACTTTTTGGTTAGCAGTCATAGCTGTTAACCATTGTGACACCAGGAAGTTAAAAAAGTGTGTGTGTACGTTGTTAGAACCTTTTCTCCCACATTTGGCCTTCATCTGGCTGAAACTACTTTGGTAGTTCCTTGGTTTACCACATAGCCGTAGGGGATTTCTGAAACTGAATTTTTCTCTTCGTGAGATGATGTTAAATTATTAACTGCTGTTATTCCAGAGAAATTCTGTGTTAGAATCTGGCAATTCTGGTATCCCTAAACCTAAGCAAATGTAAAACCAACTAACTGCTTACTTTCCTCTATCATTGAGTTATTTATCTTATGAGGTATATATACATATATACGTATGTATTCAAATTAGCCATTATTAGTTGTCCCGTCTTCTTTTTTCTACTCTTAACGGAATGGCTAAATTATTCATTTCCTGACTTTTTGCATGTTTACTTTGTGATCAGCTCATGTCCCATGAGATTGTGACATAATAGTGGTCAGGAATGGAATGCTGTACTCATACGTTACGTTTTCAAGTGTATTTCAAAGTTTGAATGTGAAACAAGCATATTTCCTTTTTACTTAGAAGGTCTGTGTTGCCATTCCACAAACAGTTGGTGAGAGGAAATCCTGTGTGTGTGTGGAAATGTGTTTCAGCGTAGTGAATTTAAGCAGCTTTCTTGGCATAGCTGAACTGAGGGAAATAATGAACAAGTCTAAGGCATTGTTAATTGTTAGGCTTTGGTACATTGAAATATTGGAGGAAGTTTGCTTTTGCTTTCTTAGGTGAATGGAATTAATAGATTTAAATTTCTGAACATAAAGTCTTTGGTTTGAAAAGTGAAAACTTTGTTATTTATCCTTTGCTCCCCTAAGGTTTTTCAGAAGTCAAGAATAATTAGAAATCTGTGAGAAGCTGGCAAAATCTGTGATCCTGCCTTATGGGTAGATAGGGCTGAGGGAAAAGCTCGATTGGCTCCGGGGACCCCTGACCAAACTTTTGTGAACTTGAATTCCTGAAGAAGCCTGGTGGGGAAAGTTTCAGACAACATAAAACCTTTCGGGCTGGGGACTGACATGCGAGTTGGAAGGCTTTGTGGTCTGTTGGTGAGGACTTTATCCATTAGACAGCTATGCTTTTGGGGTTAAGATTTGTGTCTGTAAAGAGATCTAATTGCAATATATTTTTTTCTTTTGATCAGTTGAGCCCCATATGGGGGTAGGAAGGCAGCAGAGAGGACCCTTTCAAGGTGTTCGTGTTAGAAACTCGGTGAAGGAACTCCTGTTGCACATCCGAAGTCATAAACAGAAGGCTTCGGGCCAACCTGTGGATGATTTTAAGGTGGTGCCTGTTTTTTATTTGGGGGGGTGGTAGGGAGGTTAGTCTGGGTTACTATTCTCTGTTGACCTAGGTCCGGTTAGTAACTTGCAGTCTTTCTTAACCTGCAAGATCTCTAGGACAGAGGTCACAATTGTCTTGTTGTCACCTGTATTCCTATCACCTAGCCCAGTGCCAATCACCTAGGAGGAGTGCAAGAGAAATTTAATAAATGAATAAATGAAAGCAAGTTAGGGGCCAGGAAAGAAGTGGAATTTAATTGAAATGGAACTTTTCGACTAAAAAGGGAAAAATCAGATGGCCTTATTTTCATCTTGACCTGAGTTGAGCTAAGGTGAGAGTGAAAATGAGGAAGTTGCCAGCTAGAATGAAAATGAAGTTAGAAAATAAGGATTGATAGAATAACTATATCAGAGATTTATTGTGGGCTGTAAAGGGTCATAGAGATAAGTCTATTGATGTATATTAAGCAGGAAGCCATTTTATATACACTAAATTGGAAACTTTTTTTTTGTTATAGACACAAGGTGTGAACGTAGAGCAATTCACAGGTAGGAGTTACTTCTATTTATTATTTTATGGGGGCTTTAGAGTAAAATAATTTAGTGTGATTATGAATAAATTTTGTAAAATAAAAAACATAGGATCCCATGTTCCTTTCTTGGATACAGAACTGAAGAACACAGTATCATACAGTGGAAAAAGGAAAGGGCCTGATTCATTGTCTGATGGACCAGCTTGCAAAAGGCCAGCTCTGTTGCATACCCAATTTTTGGTAAGTATCTCAATATTTCCCTCTGAAAACCCTTCTTAAATTTTTCCTGGGATAATTTTAGAAGGAAGTGAGTGGGCAGCTTGATTTTTCTTCCTTTACAGACACCGCCCCAAACACCAACGCCGGGGGAGAGCATGGAAGATGTTCATCACAGTGAATCCAAACATGACAGCAATGCCGATCTGCTTCAGAGCATTATCAACATTAAGAATGAATGCAGCCCCGTCTCTCTGAACACAGTCCAAGTTAGCTGGATGAGTCCTGTGGTTGTCCCCCAGAGTTCCCCTAGAGAGCAGTTTCAGGACTTCCACGGAGGGCAGGTCTTTTCTCCACCTCAGAAATACCAGCCATTCCAAGTCAGTGGCTCCCCACCGGTGATGGACCAGGCTTCGTTGTACCAGTATTCTCCACAGAACCAGAATGTGCAGCAGCAGCAGCACCATTATATCCATGATCCAAATTTGGAATATACCCCTTATTCCAGATTGCAATCCCCCAACTATGAACCAAATCTCTTTGATGGTCAGGAACTGCAGTTCTGCCCAAACCAAAGTTTTGTATCTCTTCTAAGTAATCATGGGGAATCAGAGAATGTTGCTGTTCCTATTCAGACTCCCCCCAGCATCCAGCAACACAGCAATGCCCATCTACAGACCTTCAGCATGATGCCAAACAGTGCGTGTGAGGCCCTGGCGGAGCACAAGGCAGGCTCTCCCCCTCTAAACACCTCACTGCCATTCCAGAACATCACCGAAAATCCAGTGAACACTACACAGTTAGGAAAGTCATTTTTTCAGTGGCAAGTAGAGCAAGAAGAAAGCAAATTGGCAAATATTTCCCAAGACCAGTTTCTTTCAAAGGATGCAGATGGTGACACGTGAGTATCTCTTTATCTCCTGTACCTAATTTGATAAGCCACACTTGTTGGACCTAGTGGGCACACACAGTTTCTCTAAGGTATACCATGTTATACCTTAGTAAGTGGTCAGCTTACCAACAGAACTTGTTTAGGTGGAAACTGCTACTCAGCGATAGCTAATACTTCAAGAAAGGGTTTTTGTTTATTCATTTTCCTGGGTAAACAAATTATGTGTTCTAAATTGGTAAAATTATTTGTATCTTCTTTGAATAATTGGTTTTGGAAGATCAGCATAGACTGTTCGTAGAGTGGAAACAATTCTATCACGATTAGCTATAAACTGTTAGTTGACTTACAGATTGAATCTTGATCTGTCCTGATGTCCTTATGGCCCTGGACAAGTTATTTAATGTCTGTATGCCTTAGTTTCTTGACATGTAAAATAATACTTTCTTCATAGGGTCTTTATGAGTATTAAAAATAATAGATGTAAAGTGATCAGCATGGTGCGTGCTAGGCATTCTTATTTCTGGTAGCTGAACTCCTTCTCTTGAAATTCAGACGTGTTATCAACCTAGCAGAAAAGACGAATTATGCTCTGTAGTGTTTCATGTGAGTGCATATCAAAGGGGCTAAAGGGAGAATTTTTTTTTTTTTAATGAACTTAGTGAAATTGAAAGTAATTTACCTCTTTCCCCTTCCATGTTCCCCAGGTTCCTCCATATTGCTGTTGCCCAAGGGCGAAGGGCACTTTCCTATGTCCTTGCAAGAAAGATGAATGCGCTTCACATGCTGGATATTAAAGAGCACAATGGACAGGTGAGACTCTTTGACAGAGTCTGAAATGGCAAAGATGTAGTCATGGTGAAGAGGAATGATGGCCAGCCTCATGCTTATGTGTAGACAGTTTTAGAGCTCAAGAACAAGAGAGTTTAGTTAATATTAACTTTGAGATGTTGACTCTTTGCCACCATCAACCTTGAAGTTATTAGTGTTAACTTTGTACTTATTTGACCAAAGACCAACTGGGTGTAAAAAGCCACACCCTGAACTTATTTTAGTTTCCTTGTCATACAGTGTTTGATTGATTATTAGTAGGATTTATTTTCTGTGTGGGTTTTCCCCCAGTTTACTTTTGTATTCTTTGTTGTGGTAGTGTTAAATATTAAAAAAATAAATTTCCCTCTGAATGTCCACAGAGTGCGTTTCAGGTGGCAGTGGCTGCCAATCAGCACCTCATTGTGCAGGACCTGGTGAACCTTGGGGCCCAGGTGAACACCACAGACTGCTGGGGAAGAACACCTCTGCATGTCTGTGCTGAGAAGGGCCACTCCCAGGTGCTTCAGGTAAGAGGCCACGAAGAAGGCACCCTCATCATGGGGCCAAAGACATCGGGCTGGAGTATTAGAAGTTGTATGTATATTGTCTGTTGCAATCATTTATTTTGAGTTGACTTAATCATTTCCTGGGATACTAGTAGATAAGTGGTTGTGTGGCTTGGCTTTTGCTAATGGATATCTGTTTTAAAATTCTGCAGGCAATTCAGAAGGGAGCCGTGAGGAGCAATCAGTTTGTGGATCTTGAGGCAACCAACTATGAAGGTAAGCAACTGAAATTTTACTGGACAAAGAACCACTTAGAGAGTGTCACCTATATGTTCTAAGGGTATTAAGTAGCATACCAAGAAGGAAGGGGAGTAACTAAAGCGGAATATTCTATAAATAAAATTAGCACTCAGTTCCAGTGGAGGGACTGTTCAGACTTCCTTAGTAGTTCTTGGGTAGCCCACCTGTAGGTCAGGTTAGAGGCATCCTCAAGGTTTGCATTTATAGAGTGACACAGACTAGATGGGTTGCTTGACCGTGCTTCATTATGCTTTACTTCTAGGCCTCACTCCTCTCCACTGTGCAGTCGTGGCCCACAATACAGTGGTGCATGAGCTCCAAAGAAACCAACAGCCTCATTCACCTGAAGTTCAGGGGCTATTACTGAAGAATAAGAGTCTGGTTGACACCATTAAGTGTCTGATTCACATGGGAGCAGCAGTGGAAGCTAAGGTACATTCACAGAATAGGTTTGGAATGGGGTGGGGGGGAGGTAGTTATAGCAAAAAGCGTTTATACCTTGCTCCCAACTACAGGTGAAAACTATTTTCTTTTTCTTGATTAATGATGTGAGTAGCAATATATGGATAGTTAAGGAGCTTAGATTTTCAAAGATCACCTCATGTCCTTTCTTGATCGGCTTTTACCCTGTGGATTATCATTCCAACAGTTGTTTAGTTGTGGAATAAATCAGTCTTCGTTTGAAAGGAAAAGGTTGGGATTGATACTCTCGTTTTGACTTCCGTTTTCATACACTGACAGTACAAGTAGTGCTTTCTATAAGGGTTTCTTCATGGCTGTGGGATCTGAACTAAGTCTTTTGTTTTTTAAACTGTAAAATATTTTATTCTCTTCAGATTGAAGGTTTATTCCATTGGGTACCACCTCTGTGCAAGGCATTGGGTCAGGTGCTTTGGGGGGAAAATGGTTAAACCAACTAGGGGCTTGGGGAACTTGCTGTCTAATAGAAGACATGAGTGATGCAGTTAAATGTGGCTCTACGTGGTTGACATCAAGTCTGGAAACAGGAAAATACATAATAAGTGGCTTATTGATATTATATTACAACATATGATAAAACAGTATTGTCTGTGTTTCTATATTTTATGACCATCTTGTATACAGGATAGACCATGGTAAGAGGCACGTAGGCAAATTAATAGGGGATTTAAGGAGGAATGAGAGATTCCATCTGACTTGAGGATTAAGGAAGGCTTTAGGGAGAAGGGAAAACCTGGTGGCATAGTGGTTAAGAGCTACAGCTGCTAACCAAAAAGTTGGCAGTTTGAATCCACCAGGTGCTCCTTGGAAACTCTATGGGGCAGTTCTACTCTGTCCTATAGGGTTGCTATGAGTTGGAATCGACTCACCAGCAACAGGTTTGGTTTTTTTGGTTTTAGGGAGAAGGAAGCAGTCAGAGTCTGCAGGACTGAGTCAGAGCTTTGGGAGGCTGGGCAAAAGGAGTATTCCAAGGCATGGTGTCTGAAAGTTTGTTTTTTTCTCCTTGCCTTTGACAAGGACCGTAAAAGTGGCCGCACAGCTCTGCATTTGGCAGCCGAAGAAGCAAATCTGGAGCTCATTCGCCTCTTTTTGGAGCTGCCTAGTTGCCTATCTTTTGTGAATGCAAAGGTAATGACCTTCTTTACACCTTCCTCAAGCTTTTGAGCACCTTTCATGAAAGCCTGCCCTGCTGATGGGTGTTATTTCATCTCTTTGTCTTCAGGCTTACAATGGAAATACTGCCCTCCACGTTGCTGCCAGCCTGCAGTATCGGGTGACACAGTTGGATGCTGTCCGCCTGCTGATGAGGAAGGGAGCAGACCCGAGTACTCGGAACTTGGAGAACGAACAGCCAGTGCATTTGGTTCCTGATGGCCCCGTGGGAGAACAGGTGAGGGCCACAGAACGGGGAGGAGATAACCTTCAGGCACTCCCGTCTGAAAGGGGGATGAGGTTGTGTAGGGCAAAGGCCAAGGTGGCTCAGTCAGTGTCCACATTTCAGTGTTCATTGTGGCACTTCAGAGTTAAGTGCTTTGTTTCCAAAGGAAGAGTAAGGAATTTGAGAGTTCATCCATGGATCCAAAATGGTCAGAGGTCAACAGCTAGTCTTTTCTTCTCTTTCTTGATACAGACTTGGTTTTAGAGTAATTCAGAATGGTCTGGGGTTTGGAAGCTGATAAAAAGCTATATCTGCAAGTACCAAGGAAAAAGAATCTTAGCTTTGTGTGTGAACTATGAGTCTTCAAAAAAGATTACTGTGGGTATGAATATGTCAATACCTGCAGTGTTCAGAAAAGTCCCAGGCACGTTGTAAGCACTCAGTAAACAAGTATTTCTGTCAACTCCTTGATACTAAACAAGAAACGGAGAGGCTGTTTACAGGACATAGAATGTAGAAATGTTTTACTCTTTAAACAAGATTATGCTTCAGTGGAGGTTGAATGGTTTTACATGAGTGAACTTTCTGCATGTCTTACCAAAATAAAACTAAACCCGTTGCCGTCGAGTCGATTCTGACTCATAGTGACCCTATCGGGCAGAGTAGAACTGCCCCGTAGAGTTTCCAAGGAGCAGCTGTGGATTTGAACTGCCTACCTGTTGGTTAGCAACCATAGCTCTTAACCACTCTGCCAGGGTTTCCTCTACATGTGTTAGTGCTGTTTTAACAGAAATACCACAAGTGGGTGGTTTTAAAGAACAAAAATTTATTTTTTCACAGTTCAGGAGGCTAGAAGTCTGAATTCAGGGCACCAACTTTAGGGGAAGGTGCACGCTCTGTCTCTGTCAGCTCTGGGGGAAGATCCTTGTCTCAGTCTCTGTAGCCCTGGTATTCCTCGATTCCTTGGCAATCCTCATGTGGCATGTATCTTCCCCCCCGATTTGTGCTTGCTTGTTTCTGTGTATGCTGCCCCTTATAACTCAGAATGATTAGGTTTAGGACCTCCTACACTAATAAATCGTCATTAACATAACAAAACCCTATTTACAAATAGGATTACATCCGCAGATATACGGGTTAGGATTACACACGTATGTTGGGGAGATACAATTCAATTCATGGAGCCCTGGTGATGTAGTGGTTGAGCGCTCAGCTGCTAACCGGAAGGTCAGCAGCTCGAATCCACCAGCTGCTCCTTGGAAACTCTGTGAAGCAGTTCTACTCTGTCCTGTAGGGTTGCTATGAGTCCGACTATGAGTCGGAATCGACTTGATGGCAGTGAGTTTGGTTTTGGTTTTAATTCAGTCCGTAACACTGTTAGGTGCCGTCGAGTCAATTTTTGACCAGAGTGACCCCATGTGACAGAGTAGAACTTCCCCATAGGGTTTCCTAGGCTGTAATCTAGGAGCAGATCACCAGGTTTTTCTCCTGCTCCATAATACTAGATAACAAGAATTTAATCTTTTGAGAACTTAAATATTTTTGATGGAAGTCTTTCCCTGAGGGGAATTACATACTTTTGTAATCATGAAATAAAATATATGGAATGCAATTTAATCTTTTCTTTGACTCATAGTCCTCATCATGATCATAATGTTATAGTAACCCATATTTGTAAAAACTTTTTATAAATTAAAATTTCTTTATAGTTTATGAAGGTTTCTGTGTATATTATGCCACTTAATTTTTATGAAAAGTCTGCAGTATAAAGGTTCAACTGAGAAAACTGAGATTCAGAGAGGCTCTAGGGATAGAAGCCAAAATCATTAAATAGTAAATGGCAGAGTCCTAAGCCCAGTATTTGCTTCTACTTCACTTTCGGTGTGCAGCCACATCGCAGTGTTCTCGAGGAATACTGAGGTGTGGAGGGCTGTTTGACTCTTCACTAAATGTTCCAAGATAACTCTCTTTTGCTTTTGGATTTTTTTTGGAGGGGTGGTCTTTTCTCGTATTCTTTTCTCACGCTGTGGTCGTATTCTTTTTTCACACCGTGGTCGTTGTGTCTCCTAGCAGCTATCAATTGCATCTCCTACCCTCGTCTTCCTTTTTTTAATTCGTTGTTTCTAATCTGCTCTGGGCTGAGAGACAGATAAAATGTGTCAGGCTGCAGTATAAAATCAATGACTAGGCTCTAAGTGAAAGCTGGGGCCTTTCCTGTGACCCATAAAGTTGTGTGCAGGTGCTTTGGTGCTTGGATATTACTACAGCTATTTTGACTTGAAGCGTATTCAGAATTTACTTGTATGTACATAGGGTGGGTTCTGGGCTCTTGTTAGTTGAGGCTGACTTCAAGATAAGTATGATATAATATACACCATAAATAATTGTAGTAAATATTCTCACAAATAGCAAGAGTAAAGATTAGGAAATGAATGTAGATCTTATTTAAGTTGTTAGAGGTTGTCAACTTCAGATAATTTTTAATGGAGTTGTTTTACTTTCTTAAACTCAAAGATTATTATCATAGGAGACCTGTAATAAGCTTTAAAAAGAGTTGTAATATCTTTTCTTAAGTTCCCTTAAACCCAAACTTGTTGCCATTGAGTTGATTCTGGCTCATAGTGACCCTGTAGGACAGAGTAGAACTGCTCCATAGAGTTTCCAAGGCTTTATCTGTTATGGAAGCAGACTGCCACATCTTTCTCCTGTAGAGTGGCTGGTGTGTTCGAACTGCCAATTGCTTGTTAGCAACTGAACTCTTAATCACTGTGCCACCAGGGCTCCTTTAAGTTGCCTTAAAATCTTGAAAAATATTGTTGCGTATTTCTTCATGCACTTACAAGTCAACAGGAGTGTTGTAGCTTATATAACAAAGGAATGCAACTCTGAAGGAAGTGTGGCACTTTGTTGCTAAAAACAAACCTCATAAATCCTATCTATTTCTATTGCAGATCCGACGTATCCTGAAAGGAAAGTCCATTCAGCAGAGAGCCCCACCGTATTAGCTCCACTGACTTGGAGCCTGGTCGGCAACACTCACTGTCAGTTAGGCAGTCCTAATGTATCTGTACATAGACCATTTGCCCTGTATTGGCAAATGTAAGTTGTTTCTATGAAACAAACGTATTTAGTTCACTATTATATAGTGGGTTATATTAAAAGAAAAGAAGAAAAATATCTAATTCCTCTTGGCAGATCTGAATATTTCATACCCAGGTATCTGGGATCTAGACATCTGAACTTAATCTGAATGGTAAAATTGACTTCAACTAACAGTAGCTTTTGGGTAGGAAGAGACTTTGGTTTGTATGGTATAAGGCATTGCTCATGTAGCTATTGCCAGTTTAAAAGCAGGTAAATTGTAAACATTTCTTTAAGAAAAATGAATGCATTTGAAGGGAAAAATACTATTTATGCCTAAAAATTATATATAAATATCATGTTGAGGCTGCTTTTGGCCTGATGCAGTATCTAGCAGTGTTCGAAACTTTCTAGTCATTGGTCTAGATGAAAAGTGTCCACGGTTAAAATTTGATCTTTGCAAACTGTATATAATTGTTATATTTGTTTAAAAATAGAGAACCTGTACATATTTGGTCATTAACATGGCCACATTTGAAGTGTAAATGAATAAGATAGCAAAGAACCAGTGAATTGTCACTGTTTTAAAAGATGGCACACATTCAGAGGAGCTGTTATTTATCATCATCCAACTAAAGTCTCCATAGAGGTGGCAGATGGAGAGTTGTTCCCTTAGTGCTGGTCAAGCTGTGTTTGGACTGTAAATATGCTTGTTCTCATGCATTGAGATGAAACCGTTGTGGGGAATTAAGTGCATGCTCTTGAACACCTCTTACCTAACTTTCTAGAATTTATAGTTCACATGTTCTGTTGGAATTTTTGTTTCACTCTTATGTGAACAACAAGTCAATATTGAAACATGTCTTACTGTTTTCTTAATGTAAAATAATGATAATATGCCATGATGTTTTATACTACTACTCAGAAAGTAGGCTTTGTTTTATTTTTTAGTAGCCGTAATCTATTAATGTTATTTTGCTTACCTGTGATATGCCCTGAGAAACTTTTTTGGCTTTGATTGCACACTAATTCTTTATAATAAATTTGATTCATTAAAAAATTTTTCTTTTCTTCTTTTTTTTTAATGAGAAGTCTCACAAATGACTGACTGATAATCATCTTTGTAGTTCAGTACTTAAATCCTTTTTAAAAAGATACCCTTTGGATTGATCACATTGTTTGACCCAGTGTGTCTTGTGGACAGAAGTTATAGTTGCTTGCTGTCTGTGAATACAGTTCTGATACAAACCAGTCCGTTCACGCTCAAAAAACTCATGCATGGTTTTAAATAAATGTTAACTCAATAATAATATTCATTTTAAGGATGTGCATTTTGTTTTCCTAGGACCCTATTTATATTTTTCCTAGGTAGAAAAGTACTATTAATTACTAGTCTAAATTCCTTTAAATTAGTATATTTTAATTTGGATTTTTTGGAGAATATGTTTCCTGAAGATACATGTGGAAGGTTTAACACCAAAAAACTGCCAGGTTTCTGTTACTATCTGAAAATACTATGGAAGTTTAATAATAATAAAGACTAAACCCATTGCTGTCAAGCGATACCGCCTCATAGCTACCGTGGAGGACAGAGTAGAACTGCCCCACAGGGTTTCCAAGGCTATAATCTTCATGGAAGCAGACTGCCACATCTTTCTCCAGTGGAGTGGGTGGTGGATTCCAACTGCCAACCTTTTGGTTAGCAGCCGAGTACTTAACCACTGCCATACTGATAATTATTCAGAAGTTTCTATGCCAAAAAAAAAGCTAAGTCCCGCAGGATATTGACTTTTATGGTTTTCATGTTCTGTGGGAGCAGTGAACATTGGAAACAGTTTGGAGATTACCAGAATTATCCTGAAAGGGATGTAAACCTGGGAACAGCAGTTGATGGGCTCCTCCTGCTTCCGGACATGGCATTTTGACATGTGAGAACAAACGCTTCAGCACCTCTGTCAGCATCAGTCTTTACAACAATTGCTTCACGTGCATTACTAGTTCTTAATTACAGACCCTTTTGAGAATCTGGTGAATGCTATGAATTTCTCTGGAAAAATTCATATATATATACATAAATGGTATATATATAATGTCACGATAAGACTTCACAGTCCCCAGGAGTCCATGGCACACAGGTTAAGAATCTGCTTCAGTTCCATTTCTGTACATGAAGTTATTGTTGAAGAATCAGTCCTTTCATATAGTTGAAATCATAAGAGTAGTTTGCTTTACAAATGCAACCTGGTGAAAAGTTGAAATGGTATGCCCCCAGTGAACATAAGACATATAGTAAGCTTTCTCCAAGCTCTCAGAGTGTTTTGTGTGTGTGCAAAGCTGTATACGAGACAATATGAGGCATTGAAAGACATGAAAGGCACATTTCTTACCTTTAAAATGTTTAGTGAGAGACAAGGCATGCACCTTATTAGGCAGATGTTAACAAAAAAGCAAACCCAATCCGTTGCGGTTGAGTTGAAGTTGATTCCGACTCAAAGGAAGAAATACTCTATAGGAAGAATTTACGTCTGAATAGGGGAACTGGAAAAGCTTCAAGGTAGAGAAGGCATTTGAGTTGAATTTTTAGAAAAGTTGACTTGGGCATTCGTAGAAGTGGGGAGAGGTGGGATAAACAAACAGAAAACAACATGAAGCAAGGCATGGTATTTTGGGGGAACGGGAGGTGACTCAGTGTAGTTTGATTAGAACCTGGGACGGCCACTAAATTTCATCTTGTGTTCTACCTCTGACTGGCAAAGTCCTTGGAGTATCATGTTGAGAAAGATTCTCAGGCAGTCTAGAGGCTTTGCAGGAAATTAGCAATGTCTGCCACATGGAGGGTGGTGGCTGGTGATGGAATATGCCTCAAACAATCAGTGGCAGCCAAGACTGTTCATTGCTGCAGCCTCAGTGCCTGGCATACGGTTAAAAAAAAAACAAAAAAACCCAAACCCGTTGCCCCACGTATAGTAGGAGCTCATAAAATACTGGTTAAATGAGTGAATGTATGCCTTTCCTGGTTGGGATCACTGTGTTTTGTTTTGTTTTGTTTTTGGTGGGGGTGGGAATTGGTGATTTGAGCCAGCAATATACTATTAAACAATAAATTAATGACTCATAGCTCTGAACTTGACTCAGTCATATAATCAATAATATGTTAATGAAAATGGGCCTAGTTGGGCCCCCTTTTTTTTTTTCAATCAGGTAGTCCCTCTTTGCAAAGGACTAACTCTAGTACTGTAGTTGGGCATTTTATTAAGGAATCCCCTCAAGTGTCAAGGCAAAATCTTTCAGTTCTATTTGTTAATCAAATTAGTAACATCTAATATCCTTTCTGGAAACCTGGTGTCGTAGTGGTTAAGAGCTACAGTTGCTAACCAAAATGTCAGCAGTTTGAATCCACCAGGCGCTCCTTGGAAACCATATGGGACAGTTCTACTCCGTCATATAGGGTGGCTATGAGTCGGAGTACACTTGACGGCAGTGGGCTTGGTTTTCTTTTTTCTAATATCCTTTCTATACTCTTAATCAGGAGCTGAAAATTTCCTCAAACTCCTTTAACCTTTACTAAATGTCAGGTTCTTAAACTTAGCGCCATTGACTTCCGTTTTCTGATAACATAAGTTGTTTTGTATAGAATGTGACCACAGGGAGAAATCAGCGTCAGCCACTGGCGAAGTTCTTGATGGTTTCTCTGGGATTAGGTTCAAGTACAAGGTTTTAGATTAGTTACAACCAGGCTAATGGTTTTCTGTTTTTCCTTCTGGTGTCCATGAGAGGAGGACAGCGACCTAGCGCAGTACTTGACATGTAGCAGACAGTGAATACATTTTAAAGTGAATTTAATTTTATGGCTCTCTTTTAAATTTGTTTTTTTCAGTATATTTTTATACTTCAATATATAAACATTTTATCATTCACATGGAGTTTATGATTTAATTCAGAGATATTTTCATGCTTCAACTCTACACCAAGTCTGATTTTTCACTTTGCTTTCCCAGTCCTCTAGCTCTACCTCTGGAGTCTTCACAAACCCAGAAAAACTGCATGAGGGGTATAGTTCCAGAAGTAAGATTGTAGAGTCCTCTAAAGATGGCTCTTGACTTCTTTTTAAATTCATTTTTAAATTTTATTGTGGTAAATATGTAACAAAACGTTTGCCATTTCACCATTCTTCACATGTACAATTTGGTGACATTTTGTTCATAATTTTGTGCAACTCTCACCATTATCCATTTCCAAATTTTTCCATCACCCTTAACAGAAGCTCCATGTTTCCTAAGCAGTGAGTTTCTCTTTCCCTACCTCCCCTCCCACCTGCCCCAGGTCGCCACCAATAATGTTAGGTCTGTATATACACTCTCGTATTCTAGATATTTTATGTAAGTGGAATCATACAATATTTGTCCTTTTTGCAACTGACGTATTTTACTCGGCATGATGTTTAAAAGGTTTATCCGTGTTGTAACATGTATGAGGACCTCATTTCTCGATGGCTGAATAGTATTCCATTTTATGTTTGTACCATATTTTGTTTATTTATTCATTTGTTGTTGGACATTTAGGTTGTTTCCATCATTTGGCTGTTGTGAATAGTGCTGCAATGAACATTGGTGTACAGGTTTCTGTTTGTGTTCCTGCTTTTGGGTATATACCTAGAAATGGAATTGCTGGATTGTATGGTAATTCTATGTTTAACTTTTTGAGGAACCACCAGACTGTTCGCCACAGTGGCTGTACGTTCCCATCAGCAATAGATGAGAGCTCCTATTTCTCCACATCCTTGTGACTCTTGTATGTATTCTTGGACCTCCATCCCCACGGTCCCTGCTCCCTGCATCATGCCATTCCATCAGCTAAAGTTATATCAAATCTGTTGTCAAGGTCAAAAGGCTGTTGAATTAATCTTTTTTTTCTTTATTTTCCCTGCCACTATCCACATTTAATGCTCCTTAAAAGCAAAGATGGCGAGACTACGCCTCACATACTTTGGACATGTTATCAGGAGGGATCAGTCCCTGGAGAAGGACATCATGCTTGGTAAAGTAGAGAGTCAGTGACGAAGAGGAAGACCCTCATTGAGATGGATTGACACCGTGGCTGCAACAATGGGCTCAAGCATAACAATGATTGTGAGGATGGCGCAGGACCAGGCAATGTTTTGTTCTGTTGTACATAGGGTCGCTATGAGTTGGAACCAACTCGACAGCACCTAACAACAACAACAACAACAATCCACATTAGGTTTGCATGACCTCATTCCTCGATTACCACAATAGCCTTAAAACAAACAAAGAAAAAGAAATCAAACTTTTTATTATGGAAATATTCAAACACGCACACAAAAATAGAATAGTATAGTGAACCCTCATACCTATCATCAAGCTTCAACAATTATAAACATTTTGCTATCCTTGTTTCTTCTATTGCGTTTTTTTTTGTATAACATGTTAAAACACACCCCACTCATCATAGAATGTCAATATGTACCTCTAACGGATAACTGAATTGTGTTTCTTATAGACTTCTAATTTATTCTTCCTCCAATCTTCTTTTTCTCACCAATTCAAAAATTTCCAACCATTTGGTGTATTTTTACAGAAACCTAAAACAGTTTTCAAAGGCTCAATATTGCCTATTGAAATCAAATACAAACTCTTATCCTGGTTTATCAAGACATCTTTAATTTAGCTTCACCTTGTCTGTCCAGTTTTGTCTTCCACTGCTCCCCAAATATCAGCTGAGTCTCCTCACTGCCTCTGCTGATGCCCTGTTTATTCCTGACTCCAGCCATGCCCTTGCCTACCTACTCCTATGCATTCCAGAAGGCCCTGATTGGGTGCCGCTTCCTCTGTGAAGCTCTTCCTAACCCACACTGAACTCAATCCCTTCCCTGAACTCCTGGGATCTCAATACAGTTCCTCTAACTTCAAATCTGGCATTTTTCATGGTATCCCAGTCTTAATTCTTACAGTCTGCAAAGTGGGCTCTGAATCACTGAATACCAGCAATATGTTTTTTTAAAAGATAACTTTAAATTGTCTTGATGAATGGTATCTCTAA